GCACAGAGATGGGAGAACACAAGGTCCAGGATGTTACCATCGGAGTGGGTGGTGGATTGTATGCACTGTGCGAGTGCAAAAGAGGAGGTTAAGTGGAGGAGTTGGGATGTGGCCGGGTTATTGATGTTGGCAGGGATACAGGGATGTTGAAGTCTCCAAGGATGATGGTGGGTAGCTCAGAAGAGAGAAAGAAGAGTAGCCAAACCAGCTAGTAATGTAAAATCGATGGGTGTTTTTTTTTTTTTTTTTTTTTTTTACTAGATTAGTATTAATACCCTCAACTCCCTCCATTAACCACTTGTCTACCGGGCACTTATAGCCCCTTCCTTACCAGGCCAATTTTCAGTTTTCAGGGCTGTTGCACTTTGAATGACAATTGCGCGGTCATGCAAGATCATTTTTTTCTCATAAATAGAGCTTTCTTTTGGTGGTATTTAATCGCCGCTGGGTGTTTTGCTTTTTGCGCTATAAACAAAAAAAGTGCAAAAAATTTGAAATAAAAAAAAAAAAAAAAAAAGTTTCTTTATTTCTATTATAAAATTTTGCAAACAGGTAATTTTTCTCCTTCACTGATGTGCGTTGATGAGGCAGCACTGATGGGTACTGATAGGCGGCACTGATGGGCAATGAAGGGCACTGATCGGTGGCAATGAAGGGCACTGATAGGCGGCACTAATGAGGTGGCACGGATAGACGGCACTGCTGGGCATTGACTGGCAGCACTGCTGGGCTGCACTGCTAGGCACTGGTGGGTGGCACTGCTGGGCACAGGTGGGCAGAACTGGTGGGTGGCACTGCTGGGCACCAATCATCAGTGCCCTGATGATCGGTGCCGATCCCCGCTCTGACATTTGCCGGTTCTCGGCAGTACTTTCCCCACGCTCTGACAGTGCAAGGAAAGTGCAGCCGAGAACCGGCAATTGCATTTCCCGGTGATCAGCGTGTCATTGGACACAGCTGATCACGTGGTAAAAGGCCGCTATGATTGGCCTTTTACCATATCACGTGATCAGCTGTGTCCGTAGGACACGGCGATCACCGAGATTGCCGGGGGTGCGCAGGAGTGCGGGTTCTGGGAGGATGTCATATGACGGCCTCCCAGAACTGGCCGGCCGCAGCGCAGCCGTCATTCGGCTATCTGCGGTCGGCAACTAGTTAACCTAAAGTAACACTTTATATACCCAATTAGTATCAGTACCCAGGAGTCCATCTACTAATGTAAAACCGTTGTTATATCTACAATGAAGTACTGTTAATACCCTGGTACTAGGGACGCATCGATATATCTGTGGACGAAACGCATCGACCAGAAATAGTGCGATCGGCATTTTACCAACTAGAAAAAAGGTGCTGATAATATCTTCTCTACTTTTATTATAAAATATATGTCAAGGGAAGTCACATGCAAAGTCTCGTCCCATAGACTTCAATGCAAAATCACATCCCATACACTTTCATGTGAAAACGCCCCCTAGTGACTTCATTTCAAAATCACATCCTATAAACTTTAAAGCTTTACTGAACCCCCAGCAGTACAATCAGTCTGTAGATGCAGTAAAGCATGCTTGTTATACTCACTGTGGAACCTAAGGGGTTAATTCTCTGCAATGTGTCAAAATGCTGTTTGATCTTGTCTTCTCTGCCCCTCCTCTTGTTCAAATGCCCAAGCTGATAAAACAGACTGAACCGTGCCCTTCTGCACATGCTCAGTTTAGTGTGTATTGCTAGAGAGGTTTTTCTTTTCTTGGGAGAGTACATGTGATCAGCACAGGGCCTATTAGCACTGTCCAGACAGGGGTCAAGGGATTTCCATCTTCATAAAGGAAACTCCTCCTACAACTAACTACTGATGAGAAAAGGGATTTAGCAGTTTATATTTAGTAAAATAATTGCGTTTCCATGTTGTGTGTACTGTGGGAAAGCAAATATAGTGAATGCAGGGTCCGGGGAGACCAGATATAGTGAATGCAGGGTCCGGGGAGACCAGATATAGTGAATGCAGGGTCCAGGGAGACCAGATATAGTGAATGCAGGGTCCGGGGAGAGCGGATATAGTGAATGCAGGGTCCGGGGAGAGCGGATATAGTGAATGCAGGGTCCTGGGAGATCAGATATAGTGAATGCGGGGTCCTGGGAGACCAGATATAGCGAATGCAGGGTACGGGGAGACCAGATATAGCGAATGCGGGGTCCTGGGAGACCGGATATAGTGAATGCGGGGTCCGGGGAGAGCGAATATAGTGAATGCGGGGTCCGGGGAGACCAGATATAGTGAATGCGGGGTCCGGGGAGACCGGATATAGTGAATGCGGGGTCCGGGGAGACCAGATATAGTGAATGCAGGGTCCGGAGAGACCGGATATAGTGAATGCAGGGTCCGGGGAGACCAGATATAGTGAATGCGGGGTCCGGGGAGACCAGATATAGTGAATGCGGGGTCCGGGGAGACCGGATATAGTGAATGCGGGGTCCGGGGAGACCAGATATAGTGAATGCAGGGTCCGGAGAGACCGGATATAGTGAATGCAGGGTCCGGGGGAGGCCGGATATAGTGAATGCAGGGTCCGGGGAGACCAGATATAGTGAATGCAGGGTCCGGAGAGACCGGATATAGTGAATGCAGGGTCCGGAGAGACCGGATATAGTGAATGCAGGGTCCGGGGGAGGCCGGATATAGTGAATGCAGGGTCCGGGGAGACCAGATATAGTGAATGCAGGGTCCGGGGAGAGCTGATATAGTGAATGCAGGGTCCGGGGAGAGCGGATATAGTGAATGCGGGGTCCGGGGAGCCCAGATATAGTGAATGCAGGGTCCGGGGAGAGCGGATATAGTGAATGCAGGGTCCGGGGTTTAGTAACACTGCGTCCCCATAGACTTCACTGCAAAGTAAAATACAATCAATAATATCTACAAGTGATTTAGTACCCCAGCATCCCCTTACATTATTAGTATCTAGACTGAATTATTATTGACACATACCAATGAAATAAATAACATCTATCTTTGTGGTAGTGCAGTATAAGTACCCCAGATCACTCTCCAAATATTCATATCAAACTGAATTATCTGCTAGTAAGCTTTAACAGCTTCCCGTCTGCCCTATAGCAGAAGTACTGCAACAGGGTGGCAGGGGTGCGCAAAATCGCATACATATAGGACATTTTGCAGTTCCAGTTAGGGGGCAAGCGCAAGACCATTCGCCGCCTTGGCTGTCAATCACCGGGTCCTGGCCTGTGATTGCTGAGCATCTCCGACGGGAGGAGAACTGTTTGTAAACAATACAGATCTCTCCCGTCAGCTCCTGCACACTACTTTGGATAGTATAATTTCTATATGTACCCTGTGGTAGTCTCAGCTTTCGCTAGTATAAATTCTATATGTACCCTGTGGTAGTCTCAGTAATATTTGTACCCTTTTTTGGATTTTATATGTACTCTGTGTGGCTCTCAGTATTAATTAGACATGTACCCAGTCTTACTCTCAGCACTAAATATTGGTACTCTGTTACTCTCATCCCTGTCTGCTAATATAACGTTTGCATACACAGTGTGGGGGATCTTATTCCCCTCTTTTATTAGTTATATATGTACCCAGTCTTACTCTCAGTATTCATTTCAGATACTCTCTGTTACCCCTCTCTAGTAATATAAACATTTATATAACCAGTGAATGAGTCCAAAAACCCTCCACCTACTGTTATGCTCAGTAAAAATTCTATACGTGCCCCATGTTACTCTTGGTAGTAATTATATATGTGCTCGGTGATACTCTCTGTAAAATTTCTATATGTGCCCGGTGTTCCTCTCGGCAGTAATTCTATATGTAACCGGTGTTCCTCTCTGCGGTAATTCTATATGTACCCGGTGTTCCTCTCTGCGGTAATTCTATATGTACCCGGTGTTCCTCTCTGCAGTAATTCTATATGTACCCGGTGTTCCTCTCGGCAGTAATTCTATATGTACCCAGTGTTCCTCTCGGCGGCAATTCTATATATATCCGGTGTTCATCTCGGCAGAAATTCTATATGTACCCGGTGTTCCTCTCGGGAGTAATTCTATATGTACCCGGCGTTCCTCTCGGGAGTAATTCTATATATATCCGGTGTTCCTCTCGGGAGTAATTCTATATGTACCCGGCGTTCCTCTCGGCAGTAATTCTATATGCACCGGTGTTCCTCTCGGCGGCAATTCTATATATATCCGGTGTTCATCTCGGCAGTAATTCTATATGTACCCGGTGTTCCTCTCGGCAGTAATTCTATATGCATCGGTGTTCCTCTCGGCGGCAATTCTATATATATCCGGTGTTCATCTCGGCAGTAATTCTAAATGTACCCGGCGTTCCTCTCGGTAGTAATTCTATATGTACCCGGTGTTCCTCTCGGCAGTAATTCTATATGTAACCGGTATTCCTCTGTGCAGTAATTCTATATGTACCGGTGTTCCTCTCGGCGGCAATTCTATATATATCCGGTGGTCCTCTCGGCAGTAATTCTATATGTACCGGTGTTCCTCTCGGCGGCAATTCTATATATATCCGGCGTTCCTCTCGGTAGTAATTCTATATGTACCCAGTGTTCCTCTCGGCAGTAATTCTAAATGTAACCGGTGTTCCTCTCGGCAGTAATTCTATATGTACCAGTGTTCCTCTCGGCGGCAATTCTATATATATATATATCGGGTGTTCCTCTCGGCAGTAATTCCATATGTACCCGGTGTTCCTCTCAGCGGCAATTCTACATGTACCCGGCGTTCCTCTCTGTGGTAATTCTATATGTATCCGGCGTTCCTCTCTGTAGTAATTCTATATGTACCCGGTGTTCCTCTCGGCGGTAATTCTATATGTACCTGGCGTTCCTCTCTGTGGTAATTCTATATGTACCCGGTGTTCCCCTCGGCGGTAATTCTATATGTACCTGGCGTTCCTCTCTGTGGTAATTCTATATGTACCCGGTGTTCCTCTTGGCAGTAATTCTATATGAACCCGGTGTTCCTCTCGGCAGTAATTCTATATGTACCCGGCGTTCCTCTCAGCAGTAATTCTATATGTACCTGGTGTTCCTCTCGGGAGTAATTCTATATGTACCAGTGTTCCTCTCGGCGGCAATTCTATATATACATATATTTCGGGTGTTCCTCTCGGCAGTAATTCTATGTGTACCCGGTGTTCCTCTCGGCAGTAATTCCATATGTACCCGGTGTTCCTCTCAGCGGCAATTCTACATGTACCCGGCGTTCCTCTCTGTAGTAATTCTATATGTATCCGGCGTTCCTCTCGGCAGTAATTCTATATGACCCCGGTGCTCCTTTCGGCAGTAATTCTATATGTACCCGGTGTTCCTCTCTGTAGTAATTCTATATGTACCCGGTGTTCCTCTTGGCAGTAATTCTATATGTACCCGGTGTTTCTCTCGGCAGTAATTCTATATGAACCCGGTGTTCCTCTCGGAGGCAATTCTATATATATCCGGTGTTCCTCTCGGCAGTAATTCTATATGCACCGGTGTTCCTCTCGGCGGCAATTCTATATATATCCGGTGTTCCTCTCGGCAGTAATTCTATATGTACCAGTGTTCCTCTCGGCAGTAATTCTATATGTACCCGGTGTTCCTCTCGGCAGTAATTCTATATGTACCAGTGTTCCTCTCGGCAGTAATTCTATATGTACCAGTGTTCCTCTCGGCAGTAATTCTATATGTACCAGTGTTCCTCTCGTCGGCAATTCTATATATATATATATATATATATATATATCAGGCGTTCCTCTCGGCAGTAATTCCATATGTACCCGGTGTTTCTCTCAGCGGCAATTCTATGTGTACCCGGTGTTCCTCTCGGTAGTAATTCTATATGTACCCGGTGTTCCTCTCGGTAGTAATTCTATATGTACCCGGCGTTCCTCTCGGTAGTAATTCTATATGTACCCGGTGTTCCTCTCGGCAGTAATTCTATATGAACCCGGTGCTCCTTTCGGCAGTAATTCTATATGTACCCGGCGGTCCTCTCTGTAGTAATTCTATATGTACCCGGTGTTCCTCTTGGCAGTAATTCTATATGAACCCGGTGTTCCTCTCGGCAGTAATTCTATATGTACCCCGGCGTTCCTCTCAGGAGTAATTCTATATGTACCCGGTGTTCCTCTCGGGAGTAATTCTATATGTACCTGGCGTTCCTCTCGGGAGTAATTCTATATGTACCTGGCGTTCCTCTCGGGAGTAATTCTATATGTACCCGGTGTTCCTCTCCGGAGTAATTCTATATGTACCCGGCGTTCATCTAGGGAGTAATTCTATAAGTACCCCGGTGTTCCTCTCGGCAGTAATTCTAAATGTAACCGGTGTTCCTCTCGGCAGTAATTCTATATGTACCCGGTGTTCCTCTCGGAGGCAATTCTATATATATCCGGTGTTCCTCTCGGCAGTAATTCTATATGCACCGGTGTTCCTCTCGGCGGCAATTCTATATATATCCGGTGTTCCTCTCGGCAGTAATTCTATATGTACCAGTGTTCCTCTCGGCAGTAATTCTATATGTACCAGTGTTCCTCTCGGCGGCAATTCTATATATATATATATATATATATATATATATATATATATCAGGCGTTCCTCTCGGCAGTAATTCCATATGTACCCGGTGTTTCTCTCAGCGGCAATTCTATGTGTACCCGGTGTTCCTCTCGGTAGTAATTCTATATGTACCCGGTGTTCCTCTCGGTAGTAATTCTATATGTACCCGGTGTTCCTCTCTGTAGTAATTCTATATGTACCCGGCGTTCCTCTCGGTAGTAATTCTATATGTACCCGGCGTTCCTCTCGGCAGTAATTCTATATGTACCCGGCGTTCCTCTCGGCAGTAATTCTATATGTACCCGGCGTTCCTCTCGGCAGTAATTCTATATGTACCCGGTGTTCCTCTCGGCAGTAATTCTATATGACCCCGGTGCTCCTTTCGGCAGTAATTCTATATGTACCCGGTGTTCCTCTCTGTAGTAATTCTATATGTACCCGGCGTTCCTCTCGGGAGTAATTCTATATGTACCCGGTGTTCCTCTCGGAAGTAATTCTATATGTACCCGGTTTTCCTCTCCGGAGTAATTCTATATGTACCCGGCGTTCCTCTAGGGAGTAATTCTATATGTACCCGGTGTTCCTCTCGGCAGTAATTCTAAATGTAACCGGTGTTCCTCTCGGCAGTAATTCTATATGTACCCGGTGTTCCTCTCGGAGGCAATTCTATATATATATCCAGTGTACATATAGGACATTTTGCAGTTCCAGTTAGGGGGCAAGCGCAAGACCATTCGCCGCCTTGGCTGTCAATCACCGGGTCCTGGCCTGTGATTGCTGAGCATCTCCGACGGGAGGAGAACTGTTTGTAAACAATACAGATCTCTCCCGTCAGCTCCTGCACACTACTTTGGATAGTATAATTTCTATATGTACCCTGTGGTAGTCTCAGCTTTCGCTAGTATAAATTCTATATGTACCCTGTGGTAGTCTCAGTAATATTTGTTACCCTTTTTTGGATTTTATATGTACTCTGTGTGGCTCTCAGTATTAATTAGACATGTACCCAGTCTTACTCTCAGCACTAAATATTGGTACTCTGTTACTCTCATCCCTGTCTGCTAATATAACGTTTGCATACACAGTGTGGGGGATCTTATTCCCCTCTTTTATTAGTTATATATGTACCCAGTCTTACTCTCAGTATTCATTTCAGATACTCTCTGTTACCCCTCTCTAGTAATATAAACATTTATATAACCAGTGAATGAGTCCAAAAACCCTCCACCTACTGTTATGCTCAGTAAAAATTCTATACGTGCCCCATGTTACTCTTGGTAGTAATTATATATGTGCTCG